TGATACCATTACACAGCTACAGTGGTCTCAGCAAGGTTTAACCTGGTAATTAATAAGAGTTAACAGAAAGAACCAGCGAAGTGCAAAATGTCTTTCCCAAGCCATAAGGCGTCGGCAGAGGGAACCATAGTGAAACGACTGATGGATCCTTCTTACGATTTTCACAGCTATTGATAGTAGACCCCCAGAAAACATTAAAAATGTCGGCGCAATGAACTCTATTGGCCTGACGGTGAATTCTAACTTGTTGTAGTACGGAAACAAAAAATTTCATAGCAAAAGCTAGCTGGGCTATGAGAGGGAATCAGTTGAAAAAAGAAATCAGGATCTGTGCCAATTTACTTTTACAGCTGCCGTGTAATGTTTACGTATGTCTTTCATACTTGCTTTCGTTTTACATGTGGGGCATACAGCATTCCTACCTGAAATACCTTCATAAATGACATGTAAGATAGGCTGAGCTTACATTTTGTGCTCGTGGAGAGCAGGAGAGTAATCTATTTCGTTGACCCTCCCGAAGCAACGAATCAGAGAGTACGCGAGAAGAAAGGAATAGTATCGATGAACACATTATGGATCCCCAATCCCCCGATCGATACCTACTAGTACCGGTTTTCTGGTCAAAGATCTGATCAAATCGACTCACATCTTATTCACTCACGGAGTTTCCTGGTCGATACGTAGCTTTCCTTGGTGCTAACTTAGGTGGGGAACATTTTGACAGTGCCTCCGTACTGTTCCATAATCAAGGCTTAGGCGTGGAGACCATGTCTTCCCTACGGAACTTCCCCCGTCGAGCCTATTCATCTGCGCTTGAGCCTTTCTGAGGAAGGGATACAGAAGGGCGGCCAAGTGGTAGCCCCCCCCCCCAACTAAGTCAGCATGCTTCTTTTCTCGCGGATTTTCCAGTGCTCAAAGAGCGACACAGGAGAATCGCGGGGAGAATAGTATAATCTGTAAGGGAGCGTATACGTACCGATGTGGAGAACTGGCTAATACAAGAATAGGAAATCAATCGATACTATCTTTATCGCGCATTCTCCGGTTCGCTGCTTCTCTAGTTCTACAGAGGTTGATACGCACAGCTTCCTTTTCGCAGCCTTTCCGATCGTCCACATGGGCGTAGGGTCGCAATAAGTCATGCTTTTCGTACGCCTACCAGCAGCGCAAAGTATGAATGCAGAACCACTGGTTTTACCGAGAAAATTAGGTTTGAATCTACCTTCACTACGAATCCATCGTGCAATACATGAATACCCGAAAAAATGTCCACACTTCACTGAAGCCAATCGATGTTCACCAGCACTTGTGTACTCCTAAAATCAAACTTCTCGAATTTCTTAACTGACAAATGAAAACCTTCCAACAACCAACTTCATAACAAATAGTGCAACCATCGTCAGCTTCCTCATCACCGGCGAGAGCCGCGCCGAGCGCGGTGGACGCCGTCGTCTCTGTGGATACCCTGTAAGGCATAGGATACAATGAAAAGCGAAGCGGAAAAAGTCGTTTAGAATGAATGCGCCCCGAAAAATGAGGTCTAAACAGCGAAATGAAGAGTGCTCATAGTTCTTTATAAGCATGAGCTGATTAGATAAGGGATCCGATTACTTTTCAAACTGGCGAAAACTAGTAAGAACTGATATGCATAGTAAAAGAAGTGCAGAACTGAATTTACCCTGGTTGGCAATCTTTCTCGTTCTCCGTTGAGAAATTGTCCGTCCTTCTTCGCTTGGGACGATTCGCAGAATTCAGCTGCAAAAATCTCAAATTCACCAACCGCGGACATCGGAAACATGACGATTCGACTACGAAATCAACAAGCAAACCTCGTTGTCTGAATCAGATGGCGAACCTGGTGGGGTGGATCGCAGAGGCTCCACATTCTCATCCAGAATTTGGATATCGTCCTAAAACATGGAATAAAGCTTGTATAAATAGTTGAGCGAAAGGTTCTTCTTCTTTGCAGACGCTGAGGCGTTCCAGTGGGACTGGGACTAGCGCGGTGCCAAGCCCAGAACCTGAACTGCCCCAGCGTCTGCAGAGAACAAGAGCACATTAATGCTCAACTATT